TTATGAAAAACATGATTTGATAGAGAATTTTAAAATAAGTTATAATTCTATAAATTTACAATAGTAAATTTTAAAATTAAAAAACATTTAAAAATAATTATTTTTTTAATTTAATTTATTAATTATTCATCTTTTATATTTATATTGTTTATTAATTGTATCTCAATAGTAAATATTATTAATTTAACTTTAGTGAAAAGATTTTTTTATAAAATAAATATTATTTATATTTACTTAATTTATTTATATGATTTATTTTATTTTATTCTCTTTATGTGTGTTGTAATATGTTTCTAAATATAGAGTGCACAAATTAATATGGATATAGATGTTTTTATAATTTTTTAAAATGTAATCTATCTTGGTATGTAGACTTTTAAAACATTATTAATAAACACATGGTTTTAAAATTATAGTTAATGCATTTACTAATTTGTATCATATATTACTAACATGTAAAGTTAATGATTTGAATTTTAGTTTATTTTAGATGTGAAGCTTATCGTAATACAATTAACATTTTTTTAATTTATAAAAGTAATTATTGTTTAAAATTTGATATACAATATAGTTCAATAAGATAAACAAAAGTATATATTTTTATCAGTGATATATAAAAAATAGAGTAAACAAGGAAAACAATTAAAAATAGAAATTTTCTCTTACCAAGGAACATTGAGTAATGTATAAGTAGAACAAATAAAAACACAAACTCCAAAGTGTTTTTTGAAGTACAGAAATGACCTTATTATAAAAGGAAACAGATAAGAAAGAGAATTCCATCATTCAATGCAGTGCCATGATTCAGTCAATGTCAAAGTGTCAAATCACGACAGAATTTCTTTCATAATTTTTACTTTTTCGTTCCAAAATCTCGTGTTTCTTACTCTTTTTTTTTCTCACTTTATTTAATATATTTTAATTTTAATTTGTATACAATATCGATTTTCAACAATTGGACTGAATTTCAAATGTCTCAAAAAGATATTTTTTTAATATTATTCTGTTCATAATTTTATTTAATTTAAGATTTGAGTTAGTTTGTTTAGATGAGTTTTTATTTAAAGTACACAAATAATATTTAAAAGTTATAAAAATAAATTAGTAAAAGATTTTTTTTTTAATTTGAAGATAATTTTTTATTTTTAACATCCAATGATGTAATGTAACTCAATAATGTAAATATAATTGAAGCAAGTAATACTAACTTTAATCAGATGAGATAGTGACCTATTTGATGAAACCCTAACTCTTCCCACAAACATGCTACCATTTTCCATTAGAAATAAATTATTTATGAATGATTATATTTCCTCATTAGGCACCAAAAACAGACAAACCAGTTTTTCTGTTTGCGCTCTTACTTCACTACAATACATACACACCCTTCACTTTCTGTCAGAACCTAGACAATGTGTGAGTTTCAGGCACACACATTGTTCCATTCTCCCTCCCTTTCTCTTTCTCTGTCTTAGACACACGATGACTCTATCTTTCAACTTGAGGACCCTCTCACTTCACTCTCTTCTTTCAGCTACCCCTTGCTACGTAACAGGTTTGCTTGTGCCTCTCTTCTTTCCATGTTTCTTGTACTGGTCCATTTTGCTCACTCACTCTTTCCTTTTCCCTTTTGTTTTGTGGAAGATCAGCTACTTCATTGCTGATACCCTTGTCTAAATTTGTTATTTTTTTACTTGGTTCTGGAATCTGATCTGTGGCCTACTCTAGCTTCCTTGTATTTTGTTAACTTTTTTCTTCCACCACTTTCATGTAACTGAAGTTGACCTCAAATATCAGTTAGATCTTCGGTTATGCTATTAATATTCCATTATGTAAATTTTACTCATCATCTGTTCTCCTATTTTTTCTGCTTGGAAGTTGGAACTTTAACATGTTATGATTTATGAATCCATCATTTGGCGAAAATTAGATTTGACTTCATTTAAATAGGAAATGTTGGTTATTGACATTTTGTTGCGGAATCTGGGATGCCTTAATGAAGTTGTTTATCTGTATTTGTTGCATTACATGAGTTGTCAGATTGGAATTTATTTTAAAATTATTACTGTTTTTTTCATGTAGTATTTGCTTCAATTTCACTTTACATCCTATAAAATTGATAAATTTGAACCCTTTACTTCTTGATTGTAATCTATAATGTCAAGATTCTAGATTTGACATCCATACTGTTACTAGTTACTACGAACATAAATTTTGTTGTTCCAAAAACACATCGGCAAGTTCAAATGTTATGGTCTTAGTTGAAGCATGGATGAGCCTGGAGAACCTATAGCTTCAGTTTAAAACATGGTTAGTTCCCTCGAGTCAATTTAGTTGGTTAAGGTGCAGGATAAACTGCATCCAGATTCAATCTCTGCCAACACACTCTCCGTTTTTCATTTCCTTATCTCCTCTGCATCTCCCCTTGTAAAACCAATTATGAGCTTCTCCCCGGGAAAGAAAGTTGTTGTAAATAATGGGTAGTGAAGTTTGTTATTAAGATTAGCCAGGGCTCATAGAGTGCAGTGAGTCAAGAGATAATAAGGTATAGGTGTTACTAATGAAAAATCCTGTTGGGGGTGTGATAAAAAATCCTTCTTAAAATGAGGAGGTATGATGAAAAATATTTCTTGAACTGAGGGGATGTGATAAAAAATCTTTCTTGAACTGAGGGGATGTGATGAAAAATCCTCGTTGAGATGAGATAGTGTGATGAAATCTCACGTTGACTAGAGATATGATAATATTATAATATATAAAAGAGTACAATTCTCACCATATTGAGCTCATTTGATAGGGTTGAGTTAGTATCTCATCATTTCTAATATGGTATCATAGTCACTCTAGTGATGTTGGGACGTGAAAAATACTGGTGTTTTTTTCCTACTACTATTATTATTATTATTGTAGTGTTCTTGTGGAGTATTTCAAAGATGAGTGGGAGCTTCTCTGGTTTTTCCAAGTGGAAGATCTCTCCAACTAATAACTCTTATGAATTGATACTAAATGTATTGGTTATGATGCAGAATTTATGCTGTTCATTGTAGAAGTACATTAAATGTCCATAAAATATTCATAACGCACACAAGACATGGCAGATCTATAAAATAGACTTTACAGATTCAGGCCCTTATGTTATTGTTAACCCACAGCTTTCTATTTACTCTATTTTAAATTGGCTAGAATGAATTCTGTTTTACATATTCCCCAACTTAATTTTAATTTATTAATCAAGATGTTGAAATTGCTCACTTTGATTGTCATGTCCATCAATGTTAACCAGATTCACCACACTCATACTTGTTCGTGTAAGTTGATCTATACTTCACAGATCCTCTTTTCTTCCCATTCAACTAAAATTTCTTATTGGTGTTATTAGCTCAATAATATCATTTGTTTAAAGCATGCACAGAGGGACCATTTCCTAAATGAAAGTAGGAAGAAGATTCACCACCTTGTGGACGACAAGGAAAGCCTCAAATTAACCAGCGAGATGATTTATCTCAAATTTTTTCTTTAAGCATGAACTATACCTTTTTGGCATTAACAACCATAAATGGAGCCAACAATAGAATAAGCTCAACGTGGCAGAAGAGAATATTGTGTTGGATGAGGGAACATATTAGACAAAATAGGATTGACAATCAATGCCATTGAGAAAAAGTTGGGGAAGTACCTATTGTATAGAATATAATAGAATCTCCTCTTAGATGGTTTGGACATGTGTAGAGATGATCTATAGCAGGACTGTTTGGGCAAACTTCTCCATAAACACTTTTAGGAGAGAAAAATAAGAAAAAATGTAATGAGCTTCTCCATAAATTAGCATTAGCACATGCATAGGTTAATTTGTAGAAGTTCTAGCATCTAAATTCTTATTTTTAACTTGTGTATAGACTAATTTGAACTTATGGCGAAGCTCACTTCATTTTTTTTTCTCTCCTAGAAGTGTTAATAAAGAAGTTTGTTCAAACAGGTCCAGAATCCCTTGTGCAAATTTAGATGGAAAGTAGGTCTGTTTCTATAGGTATAGAGAGACCAAGAAAACTTACAAGTGAAAAACCATTAAGAACGATATAAAGGTTAATGGCTTGTCTACAGAAATGATTTATAAATAATAATTGAGGGCATCATTTGATTCATGTACGTGATGCCACTCAGTGGGAAATTGTTACTGGTTAACTGATATCTTACATGTCCGTAAACAGTAACAAACAAACATATATTTCATGGTTACGTGGTCCTAGAGTATACCACAAATTCCTGATACGAATTATTTCTATCCATTGTGATGCATGTCTCAATGTTTGAAAATTATATTTGCTCTCTTGCACTGAAATTTCCTCCTTTCAGCATAGCTTAAAAGTGACATATGCAGAACAGAAGAACAAACCTTAAACTAGATAATCAATCTAACAAAACTGAGTATTTTCTTCATTTATGTCTAATGCAAACAACATCAATGAATGAAAATGAAGAAAAAGTTTCACATTTTTTGTGTTCAGTAAATAGAAGGTAGTACTCTAATCTTTACTGATGTCAGTTTGATTAAATGATGATAAACATGGAAAAAAGACTGTTTGATACTACTGATGCATTTTCTCAGCTTTAGAGCCTGGTTTGGTTTGGGAAGAAAAACGAGTCTGGTCCATGCAAAAAAATTCCAGAAAGTGTTGAGAACATCTGTCATTAATGGAAGGCATGTATGTGAAATTATTATTGCAACAAAATACGTGGGTTGTATGCATGTCATGTGGTTTCATATTGAGATACAGAAGATTAGTGAATAGTGTTTTCTGGAGAAAACTATATGGCTGAAGAGATTCACTTTTTTAAGTTAATGTGTTCAAGAAGAAACTAGTTTCATCCTTTTTTTATTGTAATGCATAATTATCACGTGCTTTCAGTTTTGATGATTTTGTAAAAATGACTTTTTGTTGGTATTCATGTATATGCAGGTAGGAAATAGATATTGACTACTTCCTGGGTTCACTCATACAATGAAATCAGGTTTTAAAACTGGTTGGCCCTCTGTTGTGCGTCTTCGTCTTAGAGACAAATCGGTCACCCCTTTCTGCATATTCTCTAAAGTGAAATCAGCTGGCAACATACCTGGGAATACACCTGTCTATCTCAATGTCTATGACTTGACAACAGTAAATGGCTATATGTATTGGGCTGGCCTTGGTATTTTCCACTCAGGGGTTGAAGGTTAGCTGACAGTTAAAACCTTTTTCAAATAAATTCAAAACTATTTCTTCATTTTAGAAAAGAATATGTGCCTAGAGTTTTGGTTCAAAGTTGTCTATATTCATGTCACCTTTCCATTTTACCTCCTTTATTTCACAAAATTTAGTATTTGATAGTATCATATGAGCATTTAGCCCTTACTTTCAAGATTTATATTATATAGACTTTTGGATCTCATGCATAGCCAAAGTATTAAATTGATATTTCTTCATATTTTGGAGAAAGAGGTTATGTATATCTCACTTGTATATGTGAATATTTATGCCTTAAGTTTTAACTGGAGAAGAATATAGTTATGGATTCCCGAAATATTTTCTAAAATAGAGTTATTATGCTGTCAGTTTATGGAGTAGAATATGCATTTGGAGCACATGACTATCCAACAAGTGGTGTCTTTGAGGTTGAACCTCGGCAGTGTCCTGGCTTTAAGTTTAGGAAGTCCATATTTATGGGAACTACCAGCTTAGATCCTTTCCAGATTAGAGAGTTCATGGAACGTGAGTCTGCAAATTACAATGGTGATACTTATCACTTGATTGTCAAGAATTGCAATCATTTCTGTGAGGATATTAGTTACAAGCTAACGGGAAACTCCATACCAAAATGGGTCAATCGTCTTGCAAAAATAGGTATGTGGCATCTTTTTATACTCCAGATCCATTCTTTTATGTTCAGATTGTATCCTTTTCTAAGTCAGTAAAGCAGATGCATTAGATCATCTCAATTCTTCCTGAATGAATGCAAGTAACCTTAAAATGTTTTTATATGTTGGATTAACATCTTGGTTTGGTTAAATTATTTCGTGCATTGCATCAATAATTTAATAATTTCAACTAGTCAAATGTCATGAAATAGAACATCTGCAAGATTAGTTATATGGCACTTTTGCTCCTCCTTTTTGGATGACATGGAGCATCCTGCCAGCAATGCAATATGATATTTGTAGGCTCACTATGGAGACAAATTTCACCTTTTCAAGGAAGAGTAGTCATCTGAGTAGAATTCATTTTGTTAGTCAATTGCCTCTGCACACACTAAAACTTGGTCATACTTCTCTCTGACTTATCATTTTTGTCCTCCTTGTAGGTTCCTTTTGCAACTGCATACTCCCTGATGCTCTTAAAACTTCCACTGTTCAGCATGATCCCAACTTTCAAGGGTGTGATAATGAGAAAAGAAGGCTAAGAACTGCATTCAGTTGCTTGTCATCTATCTCAATGCCACAGAAGGAAGTATCAATGTCTTCATTATTTATGCACTCTCACTATAAAGGGTGCCTACCACCATGGGAGTTAAAGAAGTCTAAAAAGGGCACACTAAAGCAAAAGTTAGAAGACTAGTTCACTTCTCAGTAACTCTTCTCTGCTATAGAGTATCCATTTGGTAACTGAATCACTGGAAAGAAATTATTATTGCTTTAATTCAAGTCCTCAAGTGCAAAATTTTCTGTCCATAGTTATTTTCAATGTTCAAGTTCATGGCTTTGTTGCTTCTTTTTCTTTCACTTTCTTTATTTGTCTAGTTTTTGCTTGTAATATTTGTTTATTGTGAATCTATGTCAGATATGTTGCTGTGTCAGCTCTATTTTCATGGCTGGAGAAAAATCTGTGAGAAATGACCACTAATGACAAGATACCACCAGTATAAAATGAAAAAAGGAAAGGGAAAGTAAATGCATATTAAGGGTAAGTATATATAAGCTTAAAAATGTATTTTTGAAATAAGTAATTTTTAAAATATTACTTATTTAAGAAGGAGATAGGATTTGTTTATTAAAATAAACTGAAAATTACTTATTTTTAAAATAAATAGGTGCGACAAACACAAAATAAATATAAATTTGTTTAGTTTATTAAAAAACATTTTAAAATAAATAAACATAAAGAAACCGGTTTTAAATTTCGAAAATTATCCTGAGCATATTTATCAAAATATTAGTGGATGAGTTAGTATTTTATTTTACTTTTTTCATATTTAAATACTTCTATAAGTTACACTCAATAAGATAGCACTCAAATTTTTGCAGTAAAAAAACTGAAACCCAGCCACATTGCTTTTCTCTGATGGAAAATTAATAATTTGTCTTTTAGGGAAGAAACAAATAGAGGTAGGAGAAAAACAAAGAAAAATAGATAAGAAGGGAAATAAAAAATAGTTGATAAAAATGCATTAAAATAAAGATTATTTTGTTTATTATGAATAAATTTATTATAATAATAATAATATTATTATTATTATTATTATATTTTATAATAAAGGAAAATATTATTATTTTTAACATTATTATAATATTTTCAATTAGGTGTCAAAATATATTTAACTTTGGATCTTAGACCCGAAAAATAGGTTTGACTAAACAAAAAAAATTGTGGCTTAAATTAAATAAAAAATATTTTGGTCCCGCCTATTTAGGTTATGACTTACATGAGTTTATGTCGTGCTAACTCGTAGTTTATGAGTCTCACTTGTTTTATAGAATAATAATTATTTTTTAAATAAAATTAAAAGTAATATTATTTTATATATATTATAAATTAATTTGACAAGATATTCACTCTAGAGATGATAATTAAATTTGTACTCGCGAGGACCAATCAGTTCCCAAGTTTGATGGAAAAAAATCGAGTTGATTGGGACCGGGTAATGCAACCCTCGTCCTAGAGGTGATAAAGTGAGTCAACTAAGCTCTTATAGGTTGGTACGTGATATGATAACGTTGTTACGTGATTAAAACACGTCAAACACTACGATGTAACTAAAGACAAATGTTGTAGTACGACTAAAATACGAGATTGAAACGTTGTGACGCGATAGCACGACAAACGCTATAATACGAATGAAATGGTGGACTGAATTGTAACAAATGTTATGACACAACTGAAATGCGGTAGTGTAACAAACAATTGATGATAAGGTTGAGTAGAGTTTGACTTATAGTGACCATGTAGAATATAGGTTGAGACGTAGGATAACATTAATTATGTTACTAAATTATTATAATTATTTTTTAATTATAAATAAAATTAGTTTGAACCAACTTAACCCGTGTGTTAAGTGAGTCGAGTTCATTTTTAATCTATTTCGACAAACAATTGATAAGCTTGAGTAGATTTTGACTTATAGTGACAACGTAGAATAGAGGTGGAAAGGTAGGATAACATTAATTATTTTACTAAATTATTATAATTATTTTTTAATTATAAATAAAACCAGCTTGAACTCACTTAACCTATGTTAAGTGAGTCGAAATCATTTTTACTAAATTATTATAATTGTTTTTTAATTATAAATAAAACCAACTTGAACCCACTTAACTTGTGTGTTAAGTGAGCCGAGTTCATTTTTAATCTATTTCGACAAACAATTGATAATAAGGTTGAGTTGAGTAGATTTTGAATTATAGTGACGATGTAGAATAGAGGTTGAGAGATAGTATAATATTTGTAATCTATTTTGACAAATAGTTGATGAGAAGGTTGAGTAGATTTTGATTTATAGTGACGACGTAGAATAGAGGTAGAAAGGTAGGATAAAATTAATTATGTTACTAAATTATTATAATTATTTTTTAATTATAAATAAAACCAGCTTGAATCCACTAGTAACGTGTGTTAAGTGAGTCAAGTTCATTTTTAATAACATTAGTTATGTTACTAAATTATTATAATTATTTTTTAATTATAAATAAAACCAACTTGAATCCACTTAACTCTGTGTTAAGTGAGTCAAGTTCATTTTTAATTTATTATCGGTAGAAATAAAAAAATCGAACCCTACCTGGCTCGGACCAGTAGTGAGTCGGGTTGACTCACTGATTACAATCCATATTGACACCGGCTTCATCCCGACTTTATATTTAAATTTAAAATATTAATATTTTAAAAGTTTTTCTTTTTCTTTTTCTATTATATATGTAAAGTTATTTTTTTTTCTAGTTTACCATTTTTACTTTTCATAACAATAGTAGAATCACAATCTACTTCAAGAATTACAAACTAGTTATTGAACGTAAACCAACAACCACAATTCCAATTGCATTAACCAATGTTCAAAATTTCGAGACACCAAAACTACAAGAAACTAGATGAAAGATTAAAATGTTTGAAGGAAACAATAACAATCAAATAGATATGATGATAAAGCAACAATCTAGTCACAAGTTGAGTTTCTTCAAAAAAATGAACAAAAAGCCTCAAGAATATTTTTCAAAGATTTCTAAAGTGAAAGCACATTTCTCTTCTTGGAATATTTCTTAAAAGATTGCTTGGTTGATTTCTCAAAAGTATCTTTTAAAATGAAAGTGAGAAACTATTTATATATAGAAATCCTGAAGTGAACTGATAAAATAAATCGATTAATTTGTGATTTAATAGATTAAAATAATTAGAGTTAGCTTCCAGCAAAACAGGTTTAAGTTGATTTAATTGATAAAAAGGTCATTTAATCGATTAAAATGATTCTGTCAATTTTTTCTTAAACGTTTTAACCGATAAAAACATGATTTAATTTATTAAAAGAAGTCTAGATATTAACCGATAACAAAGTGATTTAATCGATTAAAAAAACTCCAGTCCATTTTCTAGAAAAGTTTTACCTAATAACACCTAGGTCATGTATCAATTAAAACTACGAATCAAAGTTTTCCAAAACTTAGTCAAGATCATTTTAACATATTAAAATTTTTCTTAATCGATTAAAACTGTGAAACATAAAGTTCTTTAACTATTTAAGTAAAATTAATAGATTAATTCAAAAATATATCAGCTTAAAACCTTTTCTGAAGAACAATTTAACAAATTAAAATAATTTTTAACAAATTAAAAATTCTTGAGACACTTTTTCTTTAACTTTTGAAAAGAGAAACTCATGCTTGAGAAAATGATAAGTGTTTATACCTTTGATACTTAATGCAGACACACTATAAATTGTAACAACAAATCATCTTCCTTTTGAATTTATCAAAATTTTCAAGATCTTTCCCATGATCTTCATAAAAAAATGAGGAGCTTTAGTAGAATCTTCAATGATTGTTAGCAGAAAGAGGGGAAGTAGTTGATCCACCACCGTGAACCGAGAAGTTCCAACCATTCGCCCCCTCCATCATGAGCAAGTTGATCCCAACTCACTACCTCATATCCAAGGTAAACCCTTTTGATGGCACGGTCGATACAACGGCCCATCTAAAGACATTCGAGGCACAAATGCTCATTAGTGGAGGATCAGACAGAGTACAATGCAAAATGTTTGTAGGCACTCTCACTGTAAAGGCTTTGGATTGGTTCAACAATCTACCTAATAAGATCATAACATCATTTAAGGAGTTATCTAAATTGTTTATAACTTGGTTCAACAATCTACCTAATAAGATCATAACATCATTTAAGGAGTTATCTAAATTGTTTATAACCTAGTTTGCAGCAAACAAACTCAAGGTTGGACTTTAAGATCGATGACCTATTGAGGTCGACCTACTCTATGCGAGGATCTATCGAGGTCAGACTACTCTACATTTAACCTATCGAGATCGGTCTACTCTACACCTTAACCCATCAAGGTCGAACATTGACCCATCAAAGTCGGATTACTCTACACGATGATCTATCGAGGTTGAATTGGTTTATGTTTTGATCCATTGAGGTTGGTCTACTTTACACCTTGACTCATTAAGGTTGAACGAGTGAAGGACCTTTAGAGTAATTAAGGGGGCCATGACCCCCCCTCCCCCTCAACTTTTATAACTTATTCTTTGACCTTTTGATCTTCTCTCACATTTTCATACTCTCTCACTATCAGTAATATTTGATTAGTATTTAATTGTTTCTATAATTTCTAAGAAATATATTAAATAAGAAAGATTAAAAGTAGTTTTATTTTTTTACCTTTCCATCTTCTGTCACCTTTTTATATTCCCTAACTAACGACAATATTGATTGATTAATATTCAGTTGTTTCTATAATTTCTATTTTCAAATTCATTTTTTCTCTCTCTCCCTCCCTCCTCATATTCCTTCTTGAAATTAGATTGATTGCCAACCTGTTGGTGGGAAAAAATGGATATATGGATCAAAAAGCAGATGGAAGGAAATCGATAATCGTATATTAGTTGAAAAATTGATAAATTGGAAATATGGTTGGAAGACATTCAATGACCATGTATTAGTATGAAAACATCGATCGAGAATTGAAATCGAGAATTGAAATCGAGAATTGGAATCGAGAATCAAAAGAAGAAGATTCAATGGTTATTGCTAGAGAAAATCGAGAATGAGAATCGAAAATCGAAAGAAGAAGATTTGATGGCTATTGCTGGAGAAAATCGAGAATGGGAATCGAGAATCGAAAGAAGAGGATTCAATGACTATTGCTGAAGAAAATCGAGAATTGGAATCGAGAATCAAAAGAAAACAGAAAATTCGATGATCATGGGGAAGTAAAAATCGATGAAAGATATTGAGTATGAAGTTAAATGGAAAGCCAGAAATAGTTTTAAATACTCGATGATTGAGGTCAAGATCAAAGGAACGGTTATCATGCCCATGGAACGTGGGAAACAGTTTTCTAAACCGTAGCTAAGATAAAAATCGAGGGATAGTTAACGTACGTGCACATGGAACGTGGTAGCAGTTTTTAAACTGTTCTTAGGAGATTACCTGAAAGACACTCTATAAATAGAGCGAAATTTGAAGGAAAACGAGAAATTGGCAGAGACAACAGAAACACAAGTGAAAAGTCTACAAGAGAACGACAAATCATGAAATTTCTGGCGCTCTGGATTTCCATTTCATTGATTGTCTTTACCGCTTTCTTTACTTTCTCTGGTATTTTACTTTCATGTAATTTACTTTCATGCAATTTATGTTCATTTAGTCACTTACATTTATCAACTTTAAGTTCCTGTCCTTTAAATTCCTTGTCATTTACCTTTATGCAAGTTAAGATCCTGCGTTTAAGTTTCTCGCCATTTATACTTTCGCAATTTCGATTTCCTGCTATTTATATTTTTGCAATTTCAATTCATTGTCATTTACACTTAATGCAATTTTAAGGTTCCACATTTATATTTCTCTGCAATTTAATATTTTGCATTGCTTTTCATCTCGATACCTTTTACTGTTTTCTTTACTTCGAGTTTCTTAATAAAAAATACCAAAAATAGTACTTTCGATTTCGATATGCATGCTTTATCACACTTTTCGTGTTTTTAATATACGTGCATGCTTTATTTTTCATTTGGCTTGATACTGTGACATTTTCGATTGAAAACTGTTTGCTCGCCTAAGTAAAAAGAATCTACGTGATTGAAATTTGGTTAGAACCTAAGTATCTGAGAAATCGAAATCGACCAAATTTTCACCAGAAACACAACCATATTGCATTTTTTCTTCTATGCGTTGGTAGTTTAGTTTGACAATATAAAGATACTTTTTTCTCATCTTTTTACATTGCTTGTTCTATTATTATTTGTTATTTTGATTTTTGTAAAGAAATATTTATTGTTTGAGAAAAAATATTTTTGTTTTTTATAAATTTTTATGATTCTATAATTAAAAAAATAATAATTCAAGGTGTAATTAGATTCTTAAATTTTATTTTAGTTTTTTTTTCTAGATATGAAGCATAAAAGAATATATTCATTGTTTAAAAGTGATAAAAGAGATACTTATAGAGATAAAAACTAAACAAATTCAACATTTTCTCCTATTTCAAAACATGATATTGATGATCCAATTATTCAATTAGAAGAACATCTTTCTAAGATTCATAAAATTAAAACCATTGAATTTAATATTAATTCTTTGGAGCATGACCTGAGAATACTTCTTCAGATACATGAATATCCTATGAATCAAAGAGAAATTAGAAGAACTTATTTAAATTAGAGTTCATATCAAATACAATTTAAAAATTATCATATTTCTAAAGAGAAACATCCTTGCAAATTTCAATATGTTTTTGTTTAAAATGTTTTTTTCTTGGCTGGAGTATTTTCCAACTAGTATTGAAACTTATTGTTTGTCATGTTATCTATTTAGTATATTATCAAATGGTCCTCCTAGGTTAGATGTGTTTATTAGACAAGGATTTAGATTATGGAAAAAGGTTAATCCAGAAAAGAATTGTGTGTTTCTTAGTCACATTGGAGATAGTCCTTGCTCACCACATAATAATACAATAAAAACATTATAAATATTTTTAAAAATTATAAGAATTTATAATAATATTATATTTAGTCGTCCAACATTGTCACAGTATAATTAGTTGTTCTCAAATTTTATTTTCTCAATTTATTCTAATTTATTTTTGGTAATTTAGTATGTAAACCATAAGATGGAGTGAATTTATCAAATTTTAAAAAGTATTTATATATTAAAGTTAAAATAAAAAATATTATATTTTTATAATATATTATTAAAATATAAATATATTATAAAATTATAATTTAAATTATAAATATTAATTAAATTAAACTTAAAATTTTATTATAATTAAATATTTTAATATAATTATATAATTTTATTAATTTATTTAATAAAAATATTAATTAATAAATAAATAAAAATTTAAAAATATTTATATAATTAAAAATATATTTAATAAAATTTATACAATTTTATTTATATAAAAAATATTAAAAAAATTATATAAAAAATATTGTACATGTTTTATTTATAAAATTTATAATCTGTGATTCTGTGTCATTCAAATAAATTTTTAGTTGAAAATTTGATCGGAGATTGACATTGAATATCCTAAAATCAATAGGAAGACATTCAAGCAGCATTTCACATGTTTTTTTTTAATACGAAAAATATGCGAAACTGAAAAGGATATAAAAATAATTACACTAAACATTGTTAAATGAAAAATATGATTTTTTTTTTTAATTACACTAAACATTGTTAAATGAAAAGGATATAAATAAATTAATACTATATGCGAAACTGAAAATAGATGAACAAAAACACTACATGTTATTTAAGACTCCGTTTTAAATTATGTTAAATTTAAAAATAATTTATTAAGTTTGGGAGAGATAATCTTGAGTTAAACCCATATAAAAAATTTATATTATTTTTAATTTAAATATTTTAGTCCAACACACATAAATTATTAATATTATTTTTAACTTAAAATATTAAGATATTTGATTATAAATAATATTTTTTTATATAAAATATTAGATGATAAGTCATATTTTTTATATATTATTTAATTTTTTTATTTTTATTTAATATTAAATTTACACTAAGATCATTCAATATAAGCTTGATCCATTTAAAATAAAAACTAAATATTGATTGTGTTTTTAAAAGAATTGGAAACAGAACCGTAGAGCTCATGCTTTATATTTATGTGAGTATTTGCTGTCATTTGATGCAAGTCTTGGCTACCAAGTAATTAAATTGAGATGCACAAATGTTCTCAATGATGGAAACATATTTAGCAGCTGTTACGTTATTTTGAAAATTTCATGACTTTTGAAACATTTGGTATGTTGTCTTTTTCACCTTTCTGCTCCTGTCCATACTCATCTTTTTCTAATACTATCTTAATACAACACAACAGATTTGGATGAAGAAATTAGAATGTTCCTATTTGTTTTAAATCCAAAATTAAATGATTTTGTTTGTTTCCATTCAATATAAGGGAAATATATTATTACATTTAAATAAAGCTCATTTCACATTTATATAAAGGCACAACGTGTTACCAACAAAATATACAAACATTTGAGACAGGTTACATGTTTTTAATTTGATATAATAGGAAATTAATTTGATTAATATATATTAATAATATAAATATTGTTATGTTGTTATCTATTACTATTATTATTATTATTATTATTATTATTATTATTATTATTATTATTATTATTATTATAATTATATTTATATATACGTAAAAATTGTTTACGTTTATAATAATTAGTTTAACGTTATGAACATCAAGGTTTCTTCATTAGTACAGTACAAAGGATTTATCTTGATAAAGTATATTTTGGGCATTTAGGTGAAAAAATAAAAACCCTGTTTTGAGGGGTATTTATAGTGTAGAAACTTGTTGAACACAATACTCAGAATATAAAAAGATTCCATCTGTAGTTTCACCTTTTAGATTGTTGGGAGAACTCCTAGGTTCATACTTGTGGTACTTTGTTTAATTTAACCCTTCTAGTTGTTTTCTTCAATGCTTTGCGCGTTAAATGGATAATCTTTGCAGTGTGCATACACTACACGGGAGACCCAGAAGCCAGTGTTTAAGAGAGAGACGATAAAGTTTTAGAGAGAGAAGGTGCATTGTTTTGCTTCGCTTCCTGCGTTTGTGCAGAAATTTCTTATGCGTGCAAGTCATTCATTCACCTCAAAGCTCCCAAATTTATTGGTAGATAAGTAACAGTTTTCCAGTGGTCTTCAAGATCTTGCATTCCCCACCTTGAACCTCTCAAGTTCTTTCCCTTTTTTAGAAATATATCAAGAGGGTGACACCATCATCGATTATTAGATCAAGCTATTGTCGTTATCACTTTCTGGAAATTGTTATCTTCTTCAATCGCGCTCAAAGGTTTGTACTTTACAACATCATCGGTGTCTGTTTGATTCAACTTGTTCATGATTCTTCATTACATGGAATATTGTGCTTTGTGTGGTAAAGTTTCTTATGCATGCAAATGTATGAGATAGAAATGTCATCTGTTAATTGGTTTGTTTCGATGTTGATTGTGATATTGTAAAGTTTCCCGTGTGTGAAAATCTATGAGATAGCAATAGAATCCATTAATTTGTTTGTTTGAAGTTGATTGTGATATGGTAAAGTTTCTTATGGGTGCAAATCTAAGAGATAGCAATGGTATCTACTAGTTGGCTTGTTTGAAGTTGATTGTGATATGTTAAAGTTTCTCATCATATATACTAATCTATAAGATGGCAATAGTTGCTATTGGTTTGTTTGAAATAGGTTGTATTTGCCCTCAAATTTGTTGGATTGACCAAGATTTTGGTTCTGAGTATTTTTGCACTCATAATCATAAACTAGGAACCGTTAAACTTTACCGACCCGTTAAGGAATCTCTTTGTGGAGCTAATTTCTTCTTCTTCTTCTTCTTCTTCTCATAAACAGGTACTGAATTTGTAATTGATTCTTCCTTTTTCTTATTAGATCATTTCAATTAAAGAAATGGGGGGAAACATGAGCAAGAAGACCCCTGAAACATCATCGGGAATTAACCTCAATACTGATATGGCAACTGAACTGAGGTCATATGAGGCTGCCTGCAAACTTGACTCTGATTTGCAGTCCTTTGATACCACAGTTCAAGCTCGGGCGAACCAAGTCATCAATACTCTTGCAGTTGGTGTTGAGGTTAGGTCCCTTTCGTTTGAGTCTCTCAAACAAGTCACAGAGTGCCTTCTCGAGATGAATCAGGAAGTTGTCAAGGTGATCTTAGACTGTAAGAAAGATATATGGAAGAACCAAGAACTGTTTGAGCTTGTTGAGGAGTACTTTGATAATAGCTTGCAGACTCTAGATTTCTGTACTGCATTGGAGAAGTGCCTGAAACGAGCTAGGGATAGCCAATTGCTCATTCTTGTGGCCCTTCAACAGTTCGAAGAGGAAACCGGGTTGGGAGAGAAGCGCTACACGAGGACATTACAGGAACTGAAGAATTTCAAGGCTGCTGGTGATCCTTTCACTGAAGAATTCTTCCAAATGTATCAATCTGTTTACAATCAGCAGATACTCATGCTTGAGAAGTTGCGAGTAAGACAAAGCAAGCTTGATAAGAAAGTAAAACAAATCCATACCTGGAGGAAGGTCTCAAGTATGATATTTGTAGTCACAGTTGCGGCTGTGTTGATATGCTCAGTTGTGGTTGCAGCAATTGCTTCTCCACATGTGGCAGCTGCTCTAGCTGCTGTTACTGCAGTCCCAATTGGTTCAATGGGAAAGTGGATTGACTCCTTGTTGAAGAACTATGAAACTGCTATGAGAGGACGTAAGGAAGTCATTATCTCCATGCAAGTTGGCACCTATGTTGCTATAAAGGACTTGGACAACATTCGGGTCCTCATTGATAGGTTGGAAATAGAGATTGAGTCTCTACTGCAGAATGTGGAATTTGCCATTGAGGATGAAGCTGTGAAGGTTGCAATAGAGGAGATCAAGAAGAAGTTGGCAGTTTTTATGAAGAATGTTGAAGATTTAGGAGTGCAAGCTGATACTTGTAGCCGAGATATTATAAGGGCTAGGACTGTTGTTCTACAAAAAATCATAAAGCTTCCTCACAGCTGAAGATGTTATTCTGTGTTCCAACCAGTATTCCAGTAATCGTTGCTTCTAGGAGAATTAATCTGTTCTGCTCCTGTTTCTGATGAAATTTTATGATTTTCAGTTATCATTATTGATTCATGAAAACTTGTATTTATGTTGTAAATCCTGGGAAAATACTGACATTTAGTCCCTTGGTTTGTGTAGAAAGCTAAGACATATTCTTTTGAGACAATATAATACCAATTGAAGTATTTATTTATTTGTAAGATAGAAATATATTTGTGTTTAACATCTTGTTTGATGCTAGGCTTAGTATAAGTTCACATGATGATTGAATGGTTGCTTTTCATGGCCTACTTGGCACATCAAATAAATCTACTTACAATCACAATACACCAAGAAATAACTTTTTGTTCATTCAAGAATCACTCTGCTCAATCATCTAACACATTTTTTGCCAAAAATAACTTTACTTATTTTGTTAAAAAAAACGAGACTCACATTATCCAGGAAAATTTTCAAATACAAATTAATATTTTATTTTATATATATATTTTAAAACTTTGAGGTATTGCTCCTAAAAATTAGGATTAGTTATATGAAAGATAGTGGGCGATTTTCTTATTAAAAAACTGATTTAAAATAAACAAATTATTATTAAAATTTTAAACTAAAATTATACAAATATTTTCAAATATAATAAATTATGAATGACGAGAAAATATACTCAAATTAAAAATAAATAATAATTGATTTGGGACCATTTTTTATTAACAAATGAGACCGTAATTTTCGTTAGAACCAAAATAAACATTAAAAATATAATTATAGATCAATTCACAACCAAAATATATAAGATAAGACATGAGTTAACATAATCACTAATTTTCAACTTCCAAAAAACTTTAGGAGCCACTAAATTTCTTTGACGAATCCTAATACTCCTACTTAATGAAAAGAAAAAAAAAGTATTTTGGTTTTGATTTAAATTAAAGTATTACAAATTTAACCTAATAATTAAGAAAAAAATCATCCTTATTTTGCATTTAAATACTTTTTCAGTTTACAACCATCAAAGTTTAAAAACAAAAATTGACACGATGTGTTTAGACTTGTGTTTTAATTAATCTCAGTCGTTAATCTCTCATTGCAATTCGTGACTACCGTGGATCCTCTCTCTTTGATTAGAACTGGCAAGTGCCGTGTCATTCCTCTCTAAATCCTACTCACTTGTGTAGCCGTAACTGCAACACTTTTCTTTCTCCCAAGGTAGCGCGGTTTCCTTATAATTCGTGTTTTTGTTTCTGATTCGATGCATTTTTTTTTTTTGTTACGAATCCACCTTCTATGCCTTGAAATTTTGGTACATTTATATTTTTATTCATTCATTCATTCTTGTGGGTATATGTGCATGTGTATCTCCGCAAGCTTTTTATTACTCCTTCATTATTTACCAGGATGCTTTCACATTCCAGCCACCTCTTTATGTGAACAAAATTTTAGGATTCTAAGATGTAAATTATTTTTGGGTAAAACACTGTTAAGGTCTTGAGGGTCCCTAAAATTGCAATTTAATCATTCTAGTCCAGACTCCAAAAAGTTGTGTGGCTTAATGATAATATTAGGGTAGTGCTAATTGATTTGGATTTGTTCCAATAATATGTGTTTTTTGTTTCATTTTGAGACAAATTATCTTCTTTCTGAACGAAACATATGCTCCATTTTTACTTTGATTTGTAAAGTGTATGGATAATTGATAACTCTAATTTGTTTTTTACGAAGCAGATTTCGCACCTCTCTGCTACAGGAGATCTATTTCAGATGGACCGAGGGATTAAACTTCAATGTTTGCGTGTTTGAACACTGAAGTTCATGAATTAAAACAAAAGGCTAGTCGCTTGAAGCTCAGGTTCATCCAAAAGCTCCACCTAGCTTTTTCATTTGATTTTTTTTTCCTCTTATTTTAATTGTTTGAGCTGTGTGTACCAACCCCATGACAATGGCAACGGTGAGGGGAACTCCTTTGTGTTCTTCCATAACCCTGTTCCGCCGAAGCTTTGCCCGATTCCGAAATCTTACCCTGGAGACCAAACAAGGGTATCATGATCATTCCACCAAAAACCTCGATGCTAATGATTGCAACTTAATCCTTGAAATTTGTAGGATTACTCGAACAAAGCCCCGTTGGGAGGACACCCTTCTTTCCCTGTATCCATCTATCAATTTTTCTGACCCCTCTTTATTCCTCCTTTATCTTAACCACCAGAACAATGCCTTCCTCTCCCTTCGTTTCTTTCACTGGATGTGCTCTTTTTGTGGTTTCTCACCTGACCAATCATCTTGCAATGCCCTCTTCTGTGTGCTTGTGGATGCTGGAGCTTGCAATGCAGCAAAATCATTGCTTGATTGCCCAGGTTTCACTCCCGAGCCTGCTTCTTTGGAGGATTACATTCAGTGTCTCAACAGGGCTGGGATGGTTGAAGATGCAGTTGATATGTTGAAACAGGTCGGCTTTTGTCCCTCAGTGGCAACTTGGAATGCTTCCATATTGGGTTGTTTGAGGGCTGGGAGGACTGATCTGATTTGGACATTGTATGAACAGATGACGGAATCTGGTGTTGTTGCTAGCATTAATGTTGAAACTGTTGGATATCTGATAATGGCATTCTGTGCAGAAAACAAAGTTTTGAAAGGGTATGAACTTCTTAGGGAACTCCTGGAAAATGGCTTACATCCTGACAATGTTGTTTTCAATGCACTTATAAGGGGGTTTTGTAAGGAGAGACAATATGCTCGATTATCTGAGATCCTTCATATTATGATTGCCAAGCAATGTAATCCGGATATCTTTACTTATCAAGAAATCATAAATGGACTCTTGAAGAGGAAGAACTCTGAGGGTTTCCGGGTTTTTAATGATCTCAAGGACAGAGGATATTTCCCAGATAGGGTTATGTACACAACAGTGATCAAGGGTCTATGTGAGATGGGATGGACTGGGGAGGCCAGGAAGCTGGGGTTTGAGATGATTAAAAAAGGATTTCAGCCAAATGAATACACCTATAATGTAATGATGCATGGGTATTTTAAGGTTGGTGATCTTGTTGCGGCAAGGAAGATTTTTAAGGATATGTGCGGCAGAGGTTATGCAGGAACCACAGTTAGCTATAGCACAATGATTTCAGGTTTATGTTTGCATGGAAAGACAGATGAAGCACAGAGCTTGTTTGAAGAAATGTTTCAAAAGGGCATTATTCGTGATTTGATTACATACAACTCTCTTATTAATGGCCTTTGCAAGAAAGGGGAGCTGGTTAAGGCAACAAAACTATTAAATGAACTTCTTGCACAGGGATTAGAGCCATCGGTTTTCTCTTTTAATCCTCTAATAAAAGGACTATGTGAAGAAGGAGACACACAGGGTGCGATTAGGTTGTGGAAGGATATGTGTGATAGGCATTTGGAACCAACAGCCAGTACACATGATTATATTATAACTGGATTATGCAAAGAAGGAAATTCTTTGCAGGGAATGGAATGGCTGCTAAACATTCCGAGATGGAAGCTGAAACCCCATGAGCAGACTTTTGAGTACCTGATTAACAGTCTATCACAAGAAGATAGGTTGGATGACATTTTGGTTGTTTTAGATATCATGTTTAGAATAGGATATAGACTAAATGAAAGCACAATTCATTCTTTGGTGAGTAAATTTAGTAGGGATAGTTTTCATTTTCCTGACTTAAGGTTGGAGAAGATCTTAGAAAGAAATTGATATAACTGATTGTGTTGTTTGTATCATGTACTATTTATGACCAATAAAATGGAGAATTTTTGGAGTTTCTCTTGTAAATGTGAAGCTATAATTTCTGTCTGTTTATTTTGAACTTCGTTTTCATTCTTGAAGCTTCCCATTGAACATCTTAAAGCTTCCCATTGTTCATCTTGAATTTGCAACTTGTCAGCTTCTGTTTTTTCAGTTTGTAAATCTAAATTCGTGGTCTTCTTGTAAGCAAATGGTTTGCCTTATATGAAACTGTAGAGCATATCTATTTCAATGAAATGTTTTCTCATGTTCTCCTTCACAAACAGCAATGAAACCTGCCTTCTTAAGTATGGAAATTGAATTGAGTATTCATACATTCACGTGTGGAGTATGATTGCAGAACCAGAGACTTGATGTTGTATGCTTAACAGGAGAAGTAAGAATTCCAGAAGTAGTGTCTAATTCACTAGTTTCTGAGTTTAGAAATGATTGAACATGATGGAATGAATGTATGACCCCCTTATTTCTTCAACTTTTTCTTTCAAGGCTTAGTGATGTGTATTCCTAATTTCTTGTGCACTTTTATGAAGTTCTTTTTACATATTCTTTCACTTCTCAACAAACTTCATCCCTAACTCATACAATTAGTGATTTTTAGTAAATAAGCTGGAAAAATTAGGATTTGTTTGTTACTTGGTATTGCCTTATGTGTCATGCAATTGATTCGATTTTGAAAGACTGAAGAGCTTACTTGAGGTAGTCAAACATGCACTAACTTGGTTATGAATGAGAAAATATTTTGTTACAATGGAGATTTGTATTATAAACTAATGCTGGTTAATACATGGATTATTTTATTCATGGGAATACTTGGGGATGCCCCCTCAGCGCTCAAGGATACGGCGGACATTTCCCATTAATGGATGCATAGAAGAATGCATTTCAAATAATTTCTCTAATCTATTGTAGGATGCTTTACAGTTAAGCTTGCGACTTAGTTTATGATAATTCATTTTTAAGTAAGTACTTAATTACTCAGTTTACCTAAATGCCCCATTAATCTTTTCGTTTCTTTAATGTTTGAATGGATGAAACTTGATTAACCATTATCTGGTAGTGCCAATGTGAGTGCGTATGAGTAAGTGAATGATGAAATTCTAATGAAACTTTCAAGCTAGTGTACCAAATATTCCTTGACAATTATCCTTCTGTAGAAAATGCATGGGAAGTAAAAGTGGGCTTATATTGTTTGAACTTTCTTCAGCACAGGTGGCTCACATGTTTAAATGAACCTGTCCATATTCATTGCTGGATTCTCGTTTCACTAGTTATTTTTTATTTAAAAGCAGTTGTTTATTTTTCTTGAGCGTGTCGGTGACAAAATCTATTTTGTTTGATACACCTTACAATTTTGTGGTGCCTGAAGATGTCAGTAATCGTGCAATGGCCATCTTAATCAATTTTCTTTATGGGAATCTGCTTATAGCTTATATTGTAGTTTATTTTGATTTTTTTGTTTCTAGCAGGAAATCTTGACAAACCTTTACCATCAAGGTGACTATGCAAGTGAAAAACATTCTGGTTTGAAGAATCCAGTGAGAGTTTCTTCAAATTAAATGGATATAGTTTTTTTCTCCAAAAAGTGTTTGTGAAGAAGTTTTCCCAACCTACCCAAAGTCTGTTAGTTAGTTAGGTAGTAATAAATGTTGATGTATATAAATCTCTCCATATGCATTATTACAGTGAGTAATGATCAATTTAGTAGTTCATTGAATCTCCTTACTCTCTTCATTTCTCCCTGAAACTGCATCTAGCAATGAACCCAGTCTCTATCAAACTGAGTAATGACAATTTCTTAAGCTGGAAGAGCGAAGCCGTGGGAGCAATCAGGGAAAGCAACCTTGAGATGTTCATCACAAACAAGAACGAATTTTGGAGGAAGACCGGGCCAGTTATTGGAAACATCTGAAGATGATTAAGTTCCTGGAAAGATCAGCCAAGCATAGAGATTCATTTGCAAAGAAGTCAGTTAGTTTAAGAACCCAGATCAAGAATTTTCTTCTGTAAATGAACATATCTTTCAGTAAAAAAAAAAAATAATTCTTAGCATGTGACTATGTTATAGTTGCTTTAATCATGTCAACAATAGATTCTTTACATGTGATGTGATGAAAAAATTTCATTGCGAATATGTTTTGGTTTCTTACAGGAAATAAATTACATATATGGTGAAAACCTTTCTTGTGTTCTTAGTTTGTATTTTGTATGATGTTTTTATCTCTTGTTTGACAGGAAGAGTGTGAAGAACAACGTAAAAGAAATAAAGTTCTTGATGATGAAAACTCCATGCTCGCAGAGACTCAAGAGTCATTCTAAGGAGTGTGAGAAGATGAGCCTTAAAGTTCCATCACGTATACTCCATCACCTATTAATTGCATTATTTACTTCCCTTCTTTTTCAGTAGAAGTACTTATTAGAATCTTACTAATTAAAGGATAGTGGTCTTAGTGTAGTTGGAATACCCAAAAGCCAGGGAGATTTCCATCAATTGGCTAAGAGAGAAACCCCCATGACAGGCTTATCCAGCATCCTAACTCAATATAACGGGATGAATTTCACTTTTGAATAAAGTTTTTGTACAAACATAAGCACCATCCAGTGTCTCTATATGCTCAATGTCGCTTAACCATAAGTTCTAATATCAGTTACACTACTCTATATCTTGGCCCATGTCCTAACTTACTAGGTGAGTTCAATTACATGTGATTCTTTTACTATGAGATTCTTTTATAAAATTTCCTCCAATGTTTATTATTACATATGATTTTTATTTTCAAAATTCTACTTAATATTTTTAGTTCAAATTTTAATTAGTTATTTTCTAGTTTTCCAAGATTTATCATTGCGTTTTCTTATCCAATATAAGATTAGTGCCGAGTGAGATTTGTTGGGGGCAGAAAGAGTAGCACCAAAATATTGCACAGGAAACCTGACTCGGATAAAGGAAGGAAGCATCATACAACTGAATCATAAAAATATCTTGTTTTTTCTTAGAAAAACAACTGTGTAAGGTTACCAAAAGTAGGGAATATTATAGTTAAGGTTATAATAAAGGATTTCAGTTCAATTGCTGAACTTTCAAGAAGCTCATCCAGAAAACTTTTCTTGCTTGGATTTGCCTTCTTTAACTCTATGTCTAAGTATATATAATCTTTTATGAAGGTACAATTTTCAAAAATGTAAGTATTTTTCTTATAAAATAATGTATCCTCATAGTGTATAGTTAATTATTTAAAAAATAAATAAAAATAAAAACATTGTTATCCATTTATTGATGTATATTAGTTTTTAATACTAAGGGGAAACAATTAATGTATTTTCAAATGATAAAACTATTTTTAAAAAATGAGTAAGTAAAGTTTATAAACATGATGATAACGAGCATTAAATTGGATGCTCATCAACATTAAGAAAAAAGAGAGGATAAAATAAAATTTCAATGTAAAAGTGAAATATTATTATGATATCTTGTCAAAATAGATTCTTGAAGCTCTCCTATGTATATTCCTAATTAAACAATTTCAAACAATAGACGCTCCATCTTCTTGTTAATTTACACTTTTCATAAATAATTTTATATAGTAAATTCGAATTTTCATCCATTTCTCAAAAGAAAAGGAATTTTGTTGTAATTAAAAACAATGAAAATAAAAAATAAATTAAAAAAAGAAGATCAATTTCTCAAAAGGAAAGGATGTTTGTTGTAAAGAAAATGAAAACAAAAAATAGAAATAAAATTAAAGGTCCCACCGAGATTTGAACTCGGGTTACTGGATTCAGAGTCCAATGTCCTGACCACTAGACCATGGGACCATTGTTGGTGTTTAGTTCTTATAGTTTTAAAGTAATACTGTTATATTTCTACCACAAAATTTAGGTTAATTTTAATTTTTTTCTCTTTAACTTTTAATATGTGAAATTATATATATAGAAATTTTGAATAAATTTATTATTTTTAAACCAATTGAATATTAAGCCTAACATATTTATTTTACCATTGAAAAATAATTTAATAAGCTAAAATATAAAATAAAACAGATGTAAAATGAATTTTTAGATAAAAATTATGAATGTTTTTAAAAATATGTAATAAGAAAACAATTTGCAATATTATTATCTGACATAAGTCCTTCATTCCTATAAGATAATTAAGTGTGTTTGATTTGACTCAATGCTTGTCCAAACACACTCTCATGTACACTTGTAACACTCAACTTTTTATATTTTCTTCTTACAACAAATAAGAGACTTAATTAGTAAGATTTTCCATTCAACCTAAATCTCCTGCAACTGCACTTGTCTCAGAAGAATTGAATAAAGTGAAGTTTAAGAAAAAATGAGTAGCACTTTCTGGAAGATTCATAATGCTTGTTTTTATGAGTAAATAAGGGTCAAAAATATGAAAAGAGGGAAGAAATAAAAAACTCCTCAAAAATATTCTTGTTGAGCCATGTTCTGTTGCTTTATTCTTCTCACTTTGTTCTTAAAGAAGCAGTGTAGAAGATATAGATTCTCTCCAATCATTCATCTCTACAACTCAAACACCATTCTCCTCCTCACACCTGCCAACTACTATACTAATCATTTTTTTGTTTTTTGCAATTTCCATAGAGCTTCAATAAAGTAGAATAATGTTTTAAATTGAATGAATTAACTCAATATCAATTAAACAAGAAATTTCCTATAATAATTCAATTTGTTATTATTACAATTAAGTTTTCATTAATGTGGTTAAACTTTGTGTTGTAGAAGCCAATATTTAATAGTGTTTAGAAGGTAAGAAGCTTTAAAAGTTAAATTATTGAGATAAAGAATTTATGCGTTCGTTCTTTCCTTCTTTCAAAACTTTAGGGGTTGCGTGCATGTCATGCCTCGTAGGATTAGACATCCACGTTTTCATTCTCATAATCTTTCCAACAATTCAATTTTACCAAATAATTAGTTCAATTTCAACTCATTTATAGGTTAATTAAGAATATATATATCATCCAAAGAAAAGAAAAAATTGGGATATATTCTCTTGTGGGGCACAAACGACCTAATAATATGCCTTATGTCTGCCTCGATTCTCTTCACCATCACCTTCAAAATTCTTTCATATATGAATTAGAAAATTTGTTACAAAAAAATTGTTAAAAGATATAAATATATTTTGAAAAACAGAAACATTTAAATATGTCATTTTTCTTAATTTTAGCCTAAAATAGAATTAATAGAGAAAGAACACAACGTTGTGAATATATATATTCGTTTTCTACCCTCCCACACTTCACTCCAAAAAATTTCCAGAAGAAACAAAATCATGTATACTTCGTTCAAGTCCAATTCCCAAAACCCTAAACACCAGAAACACGACCATGAACAGCATGAAACAACAGCGACCAAGAAATTCAGCGAGATATCCCACTTCAGCCACAAACAACACAAGCTAACGTTCGATTACTCCGAATCCCCCTTCCAATGTGACGGCTGCAAGGAACTGGGCATAGGGTCACGCTACAACTGCTCCCTCTGCGACTTCGACCTCCACACTCACTGTTCCATTCCTTCTCCTTCACTCTTCCACCCTTTCTACCCCAAATGCTCCTTCCACTTCCTCTCTCACCCTCCCGGCGACACTCCCCGCTACTGCAACGCCTGCCAGAAGCCCGTCAAGGGCTTCCTCTACCACTGCTTCTCCTGTGGCTTCGACCTCCACCCCTGCTGCGCCAAGCTGCCCACGGTTATTGGGAGCGACGGCAACAATGGTGGTGGTGGTGATGGTAATGGAGTGAAGTTATTCTTGTACCGGACGGTGCGGTCGGCGTGTCACCGGTGCGGGCAGAAGGGGCGGGGGTGGAGCTACAGGTCGTCGTGCAAGAGGTATAACTTGCATGTGGCGTGTGTGAGGGAGATGGTGGTGGAGAGCTGGCATGAGGGTGGGGGTTTGAAGAGTGTGGTTGAGAGTGGTTGCCATAGGGGGAGAGGAGGGAAAGGTGGTAGGGTCAGGAGGTGTTGTGAGGTCGCCGGCGTGGCCCTGCAGGTGGTGGTGTCGGCGGTGCTTGGTGATCCCACCGCTCTCATCGCCGGGATCGTTGGGTCGTTGGTCTCACGTGCTTGACATTTGAAAGGAGAAATTATTGTATGATTTCATATATCATATCATATCATCTTGTCTTATTTTTCATGCCAAATATTATTAACTCTTTGAATTTGTGTAAATTGAAATATGTGATTATATATAATGTTATGTAAATATTAGTTGAGATGGATTACATTATGCTGAACCATAGAATGTATAATTTCTTGATTCACATGAAATTTTAGGCAAGGAATTAATTAACTCGCTTTGTTAAGAAACTTAGATCGATGTAGGTAGTTTACAATATGTTTTGGAGGATGTTCTTTGATTATGTTTATTTACCACCTCAAACCACGCTTAGAGAAGGAAAATGATACTTTGACAACCCAAATTCGTACAATTCCTAGAAACAACTCTGTTTTAATATTATAATAATAGTTTTATTTTATTTTTATTTTTATTAAATCAGTCTATAGATTATTATATTAATAAAAGTGAGTTGTTTGAAGAGTTGTATGGTTTACGAATGTCAAAATATCACTACTCCTTAGAGAAAGCATACACGATGATGAGTAATAGTAATATTTTTAAAATCATATCAGTGATTGAATTAATAAAAAAATGGCTTAAAATTTAATGATAGTGGGACAATATATGAAATTATATGACTATTGTGATTTTTTTATTTTAAATATTATTGGTTGAACCAAATCATAGTCCTTTTACTTCTTCTTTTCTCCTCGTAATTATTTATTTGAGCTTAACAGTTAGATTAATTAAATTAAACGACTATAACAATGAATAAATGACTATAATTTTTTGGTTTAATTTTTTTGAAATAAAAATAAATAAAGAATTAGGAGACAATGCAGACTTTTATTATTAATAATTTTAATTACAAATAATTATTTTGCTTTAGGATCAAATTTACTCGCATTTTCAAATCGACTATTTCTTCCTTCATCCCAGTAATTTTTTCTACACTCTCACGTTTAATTTGTATTTGTACTATTTCAAATTATTGAATCCCAAATACATGTATGAAAACATAGAAAATGAATTTCTATAAATAAATTACATTTTCAGAAAATACAATCTAAAATTCAATTCTAAATTGTGTTTTTTGGAATTTTTTTGAAAATTTTTCGAAAAATTGTCTGGAATCAGTTTTCTAAAATATACTCATAAAATACATTCTGAAAAACAACTGTTTTCCAAAATAAGTTTTCCAAAACATATTTATATTAGAAGCAGTATTGTGATTGTTCTTTGCAATATCCTCTCTAAGCCCAAAGCCCATGTTCCCTACCTTATCTAAATCAGTGATCCACTTCACTATCAACACCACCTTTTGTTCCTCTTAACACTCCCAACCTTTTTTTCTCTCTTAAAATTGGGCCATTGAAGGCTAGACCCACTCCCTCCATCTTCACCCACTCTGTAAATGGATCGCCTGGTAAACATTATTTTTTTAAAATAAATAAACATTTTAGAAAAAACATATTAACTTTCTTGAATAATTTTTATTTTTATTTATTTATCATTTGTAAAGTTGAAGGAAAGATCAATTATTTTTTCATCAATTATATCCTTTAGTGTCTCGTAATTTTTAAATAATTTACATGTATATTTATTATTTTAGATAGAAAAGAAGATATACAATAAGAAAAATTATAATCACTTTGTTTGTATCAACATATACTTATACTATAATAATATTAACAAAATATTAAGTTTTACATTTTCTAATTTATTTCCCAACGAACAATTATAATTCTATACATGAAAAATTATGAAACTTTGTGGCGGCAAATAGCGTTGGTAGTTAATGTTACATGGGTCGTTAATGGTAGCACACAAAGTTAGGTATGAGTTATAAAATTGGTCACCAAATTAATGTTCCACCTTTTCCCCACCTCATCATCATATCCAAAAAATAGTTCCATTCCCAATGAAGAAAGTTTGACTTCATTTTTTCAAATAACTATTTTAGTATATAAATGTATAAATCAAATAATTTTAAAAGGAATAAATTAAATTTATTATTATCGATTTAATTCTTAGATATATGTTAATATTGTCATTTAAATTACACATTAAAAAAAGACTAAAAGAGTTAACAAATTGCACTTTGAAGATTTTTGAATAGAAACTTAGTGAAGGGTGTGTCTAAGAAGATGGTTATAATATCACTGAAGAAAGTTTAAGATGGTTGGATTCAAGAAAATGTTCTCTTGTCGGGTGTGTTTAATTCATATGATTTGAACCAAATGTTGAATTAAGATGTTTGTTTTCTCTTTTTGGTGGATTAGCTGGGAATTTTGTTGTTAACATGGTCCTAGTAATGTTTTGTCACACCAATTTCCAACGGCATGCATAAAATTGTTCCATTAACCAAACATTGCCCAACTAACTACCAACTACTCCCTCTCTTTGTAAATATAAATAATTTAAGATTTTATTAGTGAATATAAACATTGCTTTTATTAAATTTATTATTGTCTTTTATTAATATCTTTATATTTTTAATATTTTATTATATTCTCTTTCTGCGATAAATATAATTAAAAAATAAAAATATAATTAATAAAATAGTAATTAATATAATTTTAGAAATAATTTTTCACCAAAAACATTTAATATTGTGAACAAAAAGAGTAGTTTTTTTTTTCTTATATGGTTTACTACCCCATTGACTATTTCAATTTGGATTCATTTTTCAATCTATCCTTACCAACTTGTTGAGAAGTAGCAAATTGGGAAATGGATGGTGCACAAAGCTAGAGAAAGAAAGTGCATTTTATATCTACCAAATAAAATTGAGTGCATAAGTTTCATGAAAATAGAGATGACAAAATACAAATAAAACTGAGTGTGTATTATTAGTATTTTATACTTTTGTTTGAATTTTCACTCTTTTTTTTATATATTTATTTCCAACTAAATATATGATTTTTTTAATATCTTTACTTATGTTTTTATCTTTATATATTCTATTTATATTTTTTTATACTAAAATTAATAGGTGTTAACTTGACTCGTACATGATTACTACGTTAAAAAGAGTCCATTCAATTCAGTTTATTGAGTAAAAAAAATTATAATTTTTTATTGGTTGACCTACTTAAATATGTGATTTATTTATTTATTTTTATTTTTTTAAATTATTAAAATAGATGAGTTGATTTATTAATATAAGTAAATTAGATGAATTGATTTATTAATTTTTTTTTCGTGAATTTATATTAATATATATGAATAAGAAAAATTAGAATATTAAAAATTAAAGAAAAAAATAATCGATCACCGTTCAAACTCATTTAATTCTTCTCGCACCACGTCAAGTACAACAAATAATTTTCTGAGAACTTACAACTGGCAAGTCACATATTCTAGTCTTTTACTGTTTATTTAAAAATATAAGTAGCTTTTTAAGCATTTTCTGTGTTTGGACTTCGGTTGAGAAGACACAATCAACCAAGTATTCATTTTATGGGCGTTTAATGAGACTTTGGTTATCACTGTTAAGTGTTGACAACATTAGGAAGATGATGATGAATAATTTGAGGGGTGCATTGATGGCTTCGCCATCAGTAATGGTGTTCATTAACCATGCATTTACTTTATATTATCATATGCCCTTCATTTTCTTTGGTTTTCAATTTCCCATTTTGTTTATTAGGAAAAAGGAAAGGGTGGTTTCACCAAACTTTTGCATCCAATATAAATGCTGATCGAGGGTGTGTTGTTGAAAACATGCAACTACTCATCACCAAAGAGCTGAAAGAGGATAGCAATAGAACAGCTACAAAAAATTGTTCAGAAAATGTCTAGCAAAAGTAAACACTGAATTTATTGCTCTGGCTCAACCCCCACATTGTTGTTCACATGCACTTCTTCTTCCTTTAAGTTGATCTATCCACACCTCTTTGTCTTTATTACCTCATATACTCCTTTTGTGACTAAGATCACTAATCATTATCATCATCCCCTGGACACAGTTCTGAGACAGACCTGCACATTCCTTTACATCTTACAATGCCAGAGGTTTTCACTGTGAAGGTTGAGGAGGGAAGGCCTGCAACTGATGCAAAGCCATCAGCTGGTCCTGTCTATAGGAGCATTTATGCTAAAGATGGTCTCTTGGAGGTTCCTTCTGATTTCGAGTCCCCTTGGGATTTCTTCAGGTTTATACACAATTTTGTTCACTTTTCTTCTCCCTCACATCAAGTTATTATCATGTAAAAGTGATCAACTTTCAATATATCTATGATGCATCGAGTTATTTTGTACGAGAATTTTATCCTTTTTGTGGTGTATATGACACACCACAACATCACAGTGCTAATCATTGGGAGAATGAATCTCTTCTAAATTGAGTAACTTGAGAGGATAAAGTGAGTAATAATAGTCCTTAATGAGAAAATTAGCATTCAATATTTCATGCCCTTACAAGACAAATCATGACTCTTAAAATATCAACAGTAAAAATTTTCATCAACGACTCTGATAACTTACCTAGTCCTTACTCAAGTGGAGCTTTGTGTTGGTTTTTTGGCTCCATATTAAGAAGTAACATTATTATTTCTACTTTTATCCAGCTCTGCTAATACTTATTTTAAATTATAGTTTCTTGTTTACTAATTTTAACTACTTTTTTTTTTTAATTCCTTTACTATCATTTTTCAATTTATCAGTTACAAGTAGTATTCTTCATCCAAATTTAGAAGTTTTGGTGCTTCATTTGGCAGGAACTCTGTTAAGAGGAACCCCAACAACAAAATGCTGGGTAGGCGTCAAAAAGCAGAATCTAAGGTATTTTGGTTCATGTATTTTGGTTCCTTGCACCATTTGTTAGGAACTTAGAATTAAAATCTCCTTTTATGTTTCCTGTTCCCTTAATTAAAAGTGACAACAGACTAATGAAAATAGATCTCTCTTTAGACTTTCTGCTTAATGTCACTTTTTACCTAACTTGAGGGAGCTTTAAAAAGGATGGGAAAGAGGGACAAGTCTTTTTATGGATAGCTTTAAGAGTC